ATGCTAACTGCTGCAATGGGCTCTTGTGTGTAAGGAAATGTGAGGATGATGAAGGCTAGAACAGGGTTCAGATCTTTTGTTCACAGGGTCACTATGAGTCCTACTCTACATGACCGGACCTAACAACAGGGAAGGATTCTATGAAACACAATGTATATGAATAAAACATAGTGTATACAAATTTTGTATGCAAACCAATATAAAATAAAAACAAAGTGGTGAGGGGAATACCCCACAACCAAAACTAAGGTCACAACAATCCTTTTTCACACAGGGTCCTCAAATTCTGGGGCTATCTCTATAGTAGCTAAAATCATATTTTATCTATGGCAGACTTTACGCCAGGGATGCGTCCTATCTCCATACCTTTTCAACCTGTATGCAGAACAGATTATCCAGGAGGCTGGGCTCTATGAGAAGTGTGACGTCAGGATTGGTGGAAGATCTATCAACAATCTGCAATATGCAGATGACACAACCCTGCTTGCTGAAACTGAGGAGGACCTCATGCACTTGCTGCAGAGGGTCAAGGACTGCAGCCTCCAATATAGATTGAGGCTCAATGTCTAGAAGACAAAGATTCTTCTCACCATTAGGCCAATTGGCAGCATCAGGATGGATGGTGAAGAGACTGAGATTGTTCACAGCTTTAGTTTGCTTGGCTCCACAGTCAACAATCTTGGCACCAGTAGCCAGGAAAATTAAAAGGCATATTGCCATGGGAAAGCCTGCTGTTGTGACCTCTCCAAAGTACTGAAGAGCAGAGGTATCTCTCTGGAGACTAAGGTGCATCTGATACAGGCCATGGTCTTTGCAATCATTTGTTATGCATCAGAGAGTTGGATAATGACCAAGGAGGATAGAAGGAGAATTGATGCCTTTGAGCTATGGTGCTGGAGAAGAGTATTGAGAGTACCATGGATTGCTAGGAAAACAAACAGATTCATCCTGGAAAGGAATAAATTGGGTGGCTCCTTGGAGGCAAGGATTCTGAGGCTCCATCTAACATACTTTGGACATGTTGTAAGGAGAGACCAGACCTTGGAAAGGGACATCATGTTTGGGAGGGTGGAGGGATGGCGGACGGCACAGGAGGGGAAGGCCCTCTATGAGGTGGATTGATTCAGTGACTGGGATAACCGGGATGGGAGTGTCAGAGACAGTGCAATTGGCAAAGGACAGAGCAGGGTTTAGGGCTGCTGTACACTGGGTCACTATGAGTCGCAAGCAACAACAACAACAACATGGCACTTTGTTTCCCTGTGGTTCACAGGAAAACCCTCATCCTTGGATTATTCTAAAATTTTTTTTAGGGTTTTTGTTTGTTTGTTTTTGGTTTTGTTTTTAAAAGGAAGCTAAAGAAGCTTTATTAAGGGCTCTCCCGGGTGGGATTCTTTGGTCTGAAGAGAGAGAAACAGAGGGACAGACCAGGAAAATAACTGCTGGATTATTCTGAATTCTTAAGATTCCGTTTCACTTCCTACATTTACTAAACGATCACAACTTTTAATAAAAAGGTCAGAATAAATTAACATTGAAAAAATAAATTTATTCCAACTTGAAATATTGAAGCACAAGCATACAGTTAAATAGTATAAAGAACAACAGAACACACACAAAAAATTACTCAAGACCAACAGGCATTCTTCTGTCAATAATCATAAACTTACACAGAAACACATTCTTAAGGATATTTCTCCAAGATTCTTAAAAGATAGAAGTTGTATATGCAATGTTTACAATGTAAGAATTTTAAAGCATCCAGTTTCTTCCCTGAAATAATCTTATTAACATCTACAGTGATGATGACACACTTCATTTTCAAAAACCATGAAATAGGATGCTACAACATTTTTCTTAGAAACACATTCAACTGTAACACAAAATGCATAGAAACTAATAATAGATTTTGTAGTTTACCACATTATGTTTCATCTCTTTTCTACTTATTTAGGAAACTATGTCCAATATATATGTATGCTTTTCAGAAAGGCAGTATGTAGACTTTTACCTGTTATTTACACAGAATTTCAGAAACTCAACAAGCACATGAATATTGCAAACATCACTGAGATATGAAAAATGAAAACAATTATTTTGGGTGAACTTTAGAACATTTTGACCATAAGACCAGTGGTGTAACTATCAAAAAAATTACACAATGTTAATGAATGACTGTCTAACACACAGTATACAAGAATGATTATATGCAAACCAATAAAAAGAGTTAATTATTAGGCATATTCTACCTGAGCTAGCAGCAAATGAATAAACAGGCTGAAAGACATCTGAAAATTCACAAAACAAACATACACATCCATCCGATTTGTCAGGGGATTTTTCTGTAGCTAGATTTAAGTTCTTATGTTGAAATTATCTGGTTTAGCCCAAAAGAACATCAGTTATGATTTAAAAACTACTTCTGAGATCAAATGGAATGTTTGCATTATATAAACAAGGAGAATGATGCCTAGCAAATTTCAATGTGCAGAGTTACAGTGACAACTAGAAAGAGAGCTGGGATATGGACTGAGTTTCTGATTCCCTAACCCTAACCCTTTCAGGAACACATTTTTCAGGATCAGATTCTAAATAATTTATTGTCATTTGATTACATAAAGCATTATAATTTCAACATAAAATAATGCACATAAACTACCAACATCAGCATTATGAATTCATTTTAAGGGTCTCCATTACCCGATAGGTCTTTGTGCGCACGAGTGACATAATACAAATATTATGGCTGTTCGGTGTTATTACTCTAAAGATAATCCCAATCAGCTTGACAGAGTCAGGACATCAACAACACTTAAATTCTCACTGTATACAAAAGGCAATGGTAGGCACTGTGGAAACACATTTGGCCCTATTCTCCTTATTCTGAGCTTGTAAATAATTAATATGGTAATTTCTTTGTGGTGGTGGTGAAATCTACTCCACCAAATACTGTGGAAGCATGTCATGGGTGTGTATTATGCCTCAAAAGAAAATCATGATAAAAAACGAGACAGCAGATTTCGAGCAATGAATATTTCAGGCTGCCTCAACTACATGGGAACTCCTGCTATTACACCACCACCTGATTGATGGCAACCTCATATGGATAGAGTAGAATTGCACAAAGTACAATTTTTAAGGTTGTGACCTTTCAGAAGTAGTTCACCAGGCCTGTCTTCCAACATGCCTCAGGGTCAGCTCAAACAATCAACCCAGGGGCCAGCTGTCAAGCACTTACTTATCTGTTTGTGTTACCCCAAAGACTCCCAAAATTATGACTTTTTTTTTTCTTTAAATCTCAAGAGTCTTTAAGACAAAAGTATTTATAGCATGTGGTTCTAGAGACTGTGAGAAAGATAGTAACATGTATTATGACATTTTCTTAATAGAAATTTATATATTAAAAATGAGTAAAAAGTCAACTGGTACAAAATGACTCTATTTCAAGTTGGAGTAAAAAAATACTTTGATAACATTTTTTAAAAAGCAGCACAGAGAACTCAAGATAAATGAGTTAATGTGGGGTTCCTCTCCTTGATTACAGTATAATTCCAAGATCAAAGTCAATCTGTATAGAGAACAGGTATCTTTTCCCTTTTAACAGAGAAAAACTGCTTCGTGGTGATTGACAAGTAGGACCAGTCCTCATTCTACATGACTAGGTTCCTAAAACAAGGTCAGTAAGTGAAAACTGAGATTTTTGTTGTTTTCAGACCATATAGTTGTCAGACTTTTTTAAAATTTAGAAAATATGATCACTGAAATAACATCTTAGAGTTACTGATTTCCTGTCTCTGTGAGACATTCAATTATGGGTCATTCCTCTCTGGAGACCTGGAGAAGACAAAGCTAGATAAAGTCTGTCTATGATTAGAGGGCCTGTGGCTTAACTACCTCCCCTTCCTCCTGGGCTGGGTCACACGTTCCCTGGTGGGGCTGCCTCCATACTCCCAACTATTGTAAGCCTTGATCTGTCCTATGGGTGTGGAGAATCACTGATGCTAGGGACTTCCAGTGAGAGCATTGGGGGCCTGGTATTTCAGCAGAGAGTTCAGGTGTAGTTTGGCTTACTTTGGGAAGTTATTAAACTCACACACATTTCTCTCAAATACTCTCTCTGAAGCCTCTTTCCTCCCTTTCAGCTTCTAGGCCTTGCAGAAGGCAGAAAATCAGAACTCAGAAACAGAATCTATGGGCTAGCTCAGTGCTGCTTGCATATCAGAGACCCTGGCCATAGTGAAGGCTAGTCCCACGAGCAGAAGGAAGCTGAGGGGTAGTACAATTGGCCCAAATTTCTGAAGAGCCTTCTCCATGAAGGAGATGCTCCACAACTACTGCTGCTGTGTGCCTTATTAATAAGCAAAATGGTCTGGAAGCTTTTTACTGTTGCTATAAATGCAAAATGTCAGATAATGAGATAGTAAGGAGCAAATGCACCGGTTATTAATTCTATTCTAACAAGAGAAAGAAAGGGAAACGATTTGAGGTTCCCTGGTAGCTAACCCTGCTCCTGTCTTTTGGTGAGTTTCTAGTATCAAGTTGATATATTCATATGCTGATATGGGATTTGTGAGAAATACCCAGTTAGGAATACATTGTGTATTTGGTTTCCATTAAATATTTTTATATTATCAATACATGTGCTCTCATATGACTTAGGAGAGTGAACCCCCTATTTTCATTTTCCATTGTTTTCTAAGCTTCTTTTTTCTGCAAAAAAGAAAAATATTTGTTTATAAAAAAATATATCTTAAGAAGCTCACTTTTAGACAGACAATACAGAGCTAGAAATTGGATACTCATTTAGATCAACAGTAATGTTAAAACAATGTAATAGGCTTTATGGAAACCTAACTGTGCACTTAAAAGTCCACAGAGCAACTTGTCAAGTCACAGTCCATTTCTCCAGTTCATAAGCACGCCGCACAGCTCTGAGGATCATTACAGTGTATCCCAGTTACCACATGGTGTTTGGATATTAGTTTATTCTCCCTTTCACATCAAATTGCCAATTCTGACTGCTTGGGCAATATAACAGTTTCTGGTTCTTGATCTGTGGGGCTGTCAACAGGCACCTATAAAAAGAATCACAAGACACACTAAAGTATCTGGCTGACAGAGGGAAAAACAAAACACTAGTTGACTTGTAAGCTGGGTTTCATATTAAATCTATCCATAATTTTCTAAATAACAGAATCATAAAAATATTCATTACTTACAGCTTTAATATCATTTGTAATTCCTATGTTTATATTGTGTCTTCTCAGATCTGACTTGATTAATGCTGAAACAGAGAAGCATCAATGGAGTTACTACATAGTATGTGTGACCATACTCTTCTCTGAGGAGTACAAAGCTATTTCAGATGTCAAATGTAGCACACTAATAGTAAGATAATATTAAAATACCTTATAGCCTGAAAATAAAGTACCTCTCTAAGCTATGAACAAGGAGTTCCTGGGTGGTGCAAACGGCTAAGGGTTTCACTACTAGACCAAAGATTAGTGGCTTGGATCTCTCCAGAGGTGCTTCTGAAGCTCACACAGCCTGAAAAAAGCCTTATGGGGCATATCTACTCTGTACACACACAGTGCCCTGAGCTGGAACTGACTTGATGGCAGCAAACAACGCCAAACCATTAACTGGAGACTGGGTGGTTCAGAAGGGTTTACGCACTTGGCTACAAACAGGCAAGTCGGAGGTTTGACTTTACCCAGAGGCACCATGGAAGAAAGGCCTCGAGATCTATTGAAAAATCAGAATAGTCATGTTGCCATGAGTTAGAACTGATAACATTTTTTTCTAAATTTTATACTGTTTTGCAATATAAAATGAACCCACAACACTCTGTTACCCTAGTGATTTCTCACCCTCTGTCCCCTGCTTATTCACTTTTTGGACTTTTATATACATCTTATTAGTTATCTATTTTGACAATAATGGTCTTATGCAGTATTTGTCCTTAAGAGACTCAGTTCACTCAGCATAATGCTTTCGAGACCCTCTCATGTTATAAAATATCTTATAAAATTGTTGCTCTTTTTTTTTCAAACCATGTAAATGTCTTTTATTTTTTCCCTTTTTTTTTAATTGTTGCTCTTTAGTGCTACATAGTAGTCCATTTTCTTGTTGTTGTAAATAATGCTACTATCAACATAGGTTTACAAATTGTTGTTTGTCTCAGTTATCTTTTCCTTGGGGTATATTCCTAGCAGCACAAGAGCTGAGTCATATGGGATTTCTATGTTTAGCTTTCCAACAAATGCCAAACCATCTTCCAGAGTGGCTGTACCATTTTACAATTCCACCAGTAGTGCATACGAATTCTAATCTCTCCACATTCTCTCCAACATTTACTGCTTGCGGTTCTGTTAAACTTTGCTACTGCTATTGCAGTGAGATGGTGACTCACTGTGGTTTTGATTTGCATCTCTCTTATTGCCAATAAATTTGAGCTTTCTTTTTTCTTTTAAATTTTATTTTACTATTTTGTGTGTATGTGTACCGTCAAATCAGATCTGACTGGTACAGGAGGAGATTGTTCCTCCTTTTCTGGCAGAGAAATTTGAGCATTTCTTCATGTGTCTGTTGACCATCTGAATGTCTCTTGTGAAAAGTCTTTCCATGTATTCTGTGATTTTGTGATTGGGTTATCAGTCTTTATCTGTTGGCAGGCCCTGTAGTATTCTTTAAACTTTCCTTATAAGACCTTTGTCTGAGATAGCATTGCCATGTGTTTTTTTCCCATCTATAGGTTTTCTTTTCACCCTTTAGAAAAAGTCTGGTTGCCCACAGGGGTTTAATTTGAAGAAGGCCCCATCTGTTGATTCTGTCCTCTCCTGGTTGTGCATTTCTGGCTGTATTGGCAAATCTATTTAGATGATGGCTAGGGCTTCTAAGTCTGGTTAGGATCTTTATGGTTTAGAGTTTTTACCCTTAGATGTGTGACCCACTTTTAACTGATTTTTGGGCATGGTGTGAGATATAGATCCTGTTTTAGCTTTCTGCAACAGATGTCCACTTTTGCCAGCACCATTTGTTGAAGAGGTTGTCATTTCCCCATTTGATAGGTTTTGTTTGCTTGTCAATACCAGTTAACTGTAGGTAGATGGGTTAATTTCTGGATTCTCAATTCTGTTCCATGGGTCTATGTGTAGTTATTGTACCAGAATCATACTATTTTGGTTATTATGTCTATATAGTAGGTTTTGCAGTCAGGGAGTGCTATGCCTCCCACAGAAGTGCTTTGCTAATTTCAGAAGTCTCCTTTCAAATATATTTTCTAACATCCTGTTTAGTCTTTTTGAAAAATGAGTCTGGTATCTGTATTGGGAATGCATTTAACATGTTGATTGTTTTTAGTAGGACTGTCATTTTCACCATGTTGAGTTTTCCTATCCATGAAAAAGTAATGTTTTTCCATTTAGTCAAGTCTTTTCTTGTTTCTTATAATAACATTTTGTAGTTTTCCTTATAAAAGTCTTTTATGTCTCTAGTTGGATTTATTTCAAATAATTTCCACAATTTGTAGTTGGCTATTATAAACAATACTGCTTTCTTAGTTTCCTTTTCTGTGTTTTGTTACTGTGGAGAAATCATACTGATTTTTTTATATTGATCTTATATCGTGCCACTCTACTAAATTGGTCTACTAGGGTTAACAGTGTTTGGGGAAGTCTTTGGAAGTTTCTATGTACACTATCATATTGTCTAACTATAGCAACAGTTTTACCACTTCTTTGCCAATTTGGATGCCTACTTCCTTCTGTTGTCTTACTGCCCTAGCAAGTACTGCCAGTACAGTACTGAATAGAAACAGTGATAGCACACATCCTTGTCTGGTCTCTGTCCTCAGGGGGAAAGCCTTTAGTCTCCACTGAGAATGATAATGTCTCTTGGTTTTGCATACTGACTTTTCACTATGTTGAAGAAATTCCCTCCTATTCTTCTTTTATTGAGTTGTTTTAACCAGGAAGGGCTTAGATTTTATCAAAGGCCTTTTCTGCATCAATTGATTGGACGATATAGTTCTTGTTATTTGCTATGTTGGCTGTTTTTATGTTAAACTATCCTTGCATACCTGTTAATTAATTATTTTTTTATATACTGTTAGATTCTATTGACCAAGATTTCTGCATCTATACTCATGAGATATGTTAGTCTATAGTTTTCTTTTTCGGAAATGTCTTTGCCAGGTTTGGGTATAAGGTTTATTTTTGCTTCCTAGAGTGACTCTTGGAGTGTTTTTATTTATTGTTTTTGAAATAGTTTAAGGGGAATTGGTGATAGTTCATCTTTGAATGTTTGGTAGAAGTCATCTGTAAAGCCATGTGGGCCAGGACTTTTTGTAGGAGGGGAGTCTTTTAATGTCCCACCCAATTTCTTCTTTTGTGATGGGTTTGTTCAAGTTTTCAACATCTGTCCGTGTCAACCTGGGTAGGGTTGTCAGTATCTAGGAATTTGCTTATTTCCTCCAGGTTTTCATAGTTTTTCATAATATTCCATTATTCATTTCAGCTGCTTGTTATGAATCACCTCTTTTACTTCTTATTTATTTGTGTTAAATGGTCTGTATACTTTATTCACCTTTTCAAAGAACCAGTTTCTGGTCTTGTTGATGGTTTCAATTGTTTTTTTTCTGTTTTCTATCCAATTGATTTCAGCTCAAAATTTCCTTTCTTCTAGAGGCTGTGAGGTTAGATGGTTGTTCTTTTTCTGTATTTGCTTCTTTCTTCCATTTTTATGTGTTTGCCTATTGCTATGAAATGCCCCCTAAGGATTGGCTTCACTTGTATCCCAGAGGTTTTGATATATTGTATTTTCATTTGTTTCAAGGAACTTTTAAATTTCATTTTTTATTTCTTCTATTACCCAACAGTGTTCTAGCAGTGTGTTATTTAGCTGCCACGTGGGTGGTTTTACATGCTTTATCCTCTTGTGGTTAATATCTAGTTTTATGGCATTAAGGTCTAAAAACAAACTTTGTATTATTTCAATGATTTTTAATTTTTTGAGGCTTGCTTCATGTCCTAATAAAAGATCAATTCAGGAGAATGTACCATGTGCACTTGAAAAGAAAGTAAATGGACTTTTATTCGAGTGCAGTACCCTAATTATACCTTCAAGGTTGAGTTGGCTAATTATATAGTTTAAATCTGCATCTCTGTTAAATTTCTTTCAAGCTGATCTGTCCTTTTCTGAGAGTGGTGTGTTAAACACTACTGCTGCTGCTGCGGTGCTGTTTCCTCCCTCAAGTCAGTTAGCCAGTGTTTTACCTATTTTGCAGGTCTGTCATTTGGTGGGAATGCTGATCAAAGTTGTATCTTCTTGATCTTTAATAATTATATAGATATAAAGATATATAAAGACAATCCTGAGTGGTTTTCATCCCAAAGCCTATTTTCGTAGAGATTAGCGATGTCATTCTGCTTTTTTGTAGATGTTATTTGCTTAGTGTATTCCTCCCTTTAGTCTTTTCCCTCATTTCTGAGATGTATCTCTTGTAGTCAACAAATTAGATAGGCTCTGGCTTTTTAAATCTGTTCTGCACCTTTTCACTTAATTGGTACGTTTGAGCCATTTACATTAGGTGTGATTGATTATTGCTAGGTCGGGCTTTATTGTTGTATTTTGCTATGTTTCTGGTTACTTTCGTCCATCTACTTTGTTTTCTCTGTGTGAAGGACTTCAATATGTTTCGTAGAGTTGCTCTTGTTTTTACTTATCTTTATGTTCTTGCTTTGCTGCAAATGACCTCATTTCTCCTTCATATCTAATAGACAGCTCTGGTGGGTGCAGGATCCTCAGCTGGGAATTATTTTCTTTCAGCCTTCTGTATATGCCATCTAGTACCTTGCATCCTATATGCAAGAAGCATGCCTTCCTGCTCACATGGTTTCTGCTAAGAAATCAGAACTTAATCTAGTTGGTTCTCCTTTGCAGGTGACTCTTTGGTTGGTATTTTTTTTTGTGCTGTTTTAGTACTGTATGCTTGTCTTTGATTTTGGTGACTCTGAGTATGATTATGTCTTCATGTTTTTCTTTTTGGGTCTAGTCTGTTTAGAATTCTCTGAGCTTCTCCTCAGTGGATTTCCTCATTCTACATGATACCTGAGGAGATTTCTTCTAGTACTTCTTCCACAATTTTCTCAGTGTTTTACCTGCCCCTCCCCTCTTTCTGGAATTCTGATGATATGTATGTTGTCCCCCTCCCCACCCCATTCTGGAATTCTGATCATATGTATGTTGTTCATTTTACAGTTATTCTACCTGATTTTAAAGTTTTCTTCATTTTCGTTCCATCTTCTCTCTGGTTTTTCTAGTATGATCCCATTGAGGTTCTTGTCTTCCAGCTCACTGACTCTGTGTCTCATCTCTTCTTTTCTGCTTTTATACCTCCAACATCCTGGAAACTTCTGTCTATCTGGTCTTGACATTCTTTACTGCATTTTCTTGTGTTGCCTTTTATTTTCAGTACTGTATTGGCTATACCCTGTCTTATGATGTTTTTTTTTTTAATTCTTCTACCGCTTTATCTATAATTTCAATTTTTCCCTCCATCTTTTGCAATTTCTTTAATAGTTATTCATGTTCCTTCCCATCAATATATTTGTTTTGGCTTCCTATCTCTGAGGTACTCACTTTACTTATGGCTCCCATTCTGTCTTCCATCACTTATGCCTTCTTCAATAACTGTTCATATAACTCCATGCCAATATAGTTCTTCTGCCTCCTTGTATCTGGGGTACCCACTGGGTCTGGAATATGCTCTACTTGTTTAGGAGAAGTCTTGTTTTGCTCTTTCACAATGTTTGAGGCTACCTGTTGCTTTCTTGACATTATGAGAAGTTTTTCTTGGTATGTGTTAAGCTGTTTCTGTTGTGTCTTCGTAGGTCATTGATAGTTCTTTATGAAGCTATTGATTAGTTGCAGTGTTGAAGTGTTCCCTTTACGGGAGATGACAACTTGCTCCTCCAGAGGTCTGTTTTGGTTCTCGTGCAGCAGGGAAATTCACCATTCCTAAAATCCTTCAAATTCTCTCTGTTCTGCAGCACAGACGTAAGTGTGGCCTGCAGCACAGTGACCAGTTTTCCCAACTGATACAGTATCTTTTCAGGGGATCTGCTGACAGTTTCCTCTTCACACTCCAATATGTCCTCCTTGGGAGGGAATCTCTCATCTGAGTATGGTCACCTCTCTTGAAGTTTATTATTGTCCCTGGCAATTGAAAGCCCCAACTGATGCAGTTTCTCTCCAGAGGAATTACAGGCAGCTCCCTACCTGCACATTAATGTGCCCTCTCTGGAAGAAAATGTCTCACCTCAGTGCAGCCTTCTCTCCTAAAGTCTATTATTGTCCTCAGTGGACTATTGTGGTCCAGCAACCAAGTTCCCCAACTGATAAAGTTTCTCTCCAGGGGAGTCAGAGGCAGCTTCCTTCCTGCACTTCAATGCATCCTCTCTCTGATTTTGAATGTAGACATTTATGCTGGGCCGCATGTATGTGTACGTACACACACATGGAAGTATGACTTTTCTGGATTTGTTAGTTATTTTATAGATACTACTGATGTATAATTAGATTGAAAAACAATCAGATGCTACAAGATTATGCTTTAATTTCCTGAATAATCATCAATGTTATGCATTATATAAGATGGACTAGTGGGTAAAAACTGCATTATCATCCCAAAGACAGGTGGCTTGAATCCACCACTTGTTCCAAACCTAGTTTCCATGAAATTTACAGACTCTGGAAATTGTCTAGAGGGTCAGCTGTGAGTTGGTTCCAATTTGATGGTACATACAACAACTAAGTAATACCTGTTTTAGCTCTGATGTTGGTAAAAGGATATAGAAAAAAAATAAAATTATAATAAAAGCTGACAAGGGCCTGTAGACAAGGCTGAATTAACTCTTACTTCCAAATCTACCTTTACATTGCTATTACAATAAGATTAATATCAGATTGTTGTCGTTGTTATGTGCCATCGAGTCACTTGAGACTCATAGTGACCCTATGTACAACAGCCCTAAACCCTGCTCTATCCTGTGCCAATTGCACTGCCTCTGACACACCCATTCCGATTACCCCAGTCACTGAATCAATCCACCTCATAAAGGGTCTTCCCCTCCTACGCTGTTCCTCTACCCTCCCAAGCATGATGTCCCTCTCCAAGGACCTGTTCCTCATTATAACATGTCCAAAGTATGTCAGACGAAGCCCCAGAATACTTGCTTCTAAGGAGTAGCCTGGTTTAACCATCTCCAGGATGAATCTGTTTGTTTTCTTGGCAGTCCATGGTACATTCAATACTCTTCTCCAGCACCACACCTCAAAGGCATCAATTCTCCTTCTATCCTCCCTAGTCATTGTCCAACTCTCTGGTGCATAACAAGTGATTGCAAAAACCAGGGCCTATATCAGACGCACCTTAGTCTCCAGAGACACAACGCTGCTCTTGAGTACTTTACAGAGGTCACTAACAGTAGACTTTCCCATCGCAATACATTTTTTTTATTTCCTGGCTGCTGGTGCCAAGAGTGTTGACCGTGGAGCCAAGCAAACTAAAGCTGTGTACAATCTCAATCTCTTCGCCATCCATCCTGATGCTGCCAGTTGGTCCAGTGGTGAGAATCTTTGTCTTCTTGACATTGAGCCTCGATCCATACTGGAGGCTGCAGTCCTTGACCCTCTGCAGCAAGTGTATGAGGTCCTCCTCAGTTTCAGCAAGCAGGGTTGTGTCATCTGCATAACGAATACTGTTAATCTTCCACCAATCCTGATGCCACACTTCTCCTCATGGAGCCTAGCCTCTCGGATAATCTGCTCTGCATACAGGTTGAAAAGGTTATGGAGACAGGACACATCCCTGGCATACACCCTTCCCAATTTTGAACCATGCAGTGTTGCCCTGCTCTGTTCTGATGACTGCCTCTTGGTCCAAGTATAGGTTTCGCATTAGCACGATTAAATGTTCTGGGATTCCCATTCTTCTCAGAGTAAGCCACAGTTTGTTATGATCCATGCAGTCAAACGCCTTTGCATAATCAATAAAACACAGATAGACATTCTTTTGGTATTCCCTGCTTTCAGCTAAGATCCCTCTAACATCAACTACCATATCCCTAGTACCACGACCCCTTCTAAATCCAGCCTGGACTTCTGGCAGTTCTCTGCTGATGTGCTGTTCCAGTCGTTTTTGGGTAATCTTCAGTAGAATCTTGCTTGCATGTGAAATCAATGATATTGCTCTGTAGTTTCCATACTCTGTTGAGTCACCTTTCTTTGGGATGGCAACAAATATAGATCTCTTCCAGTCAGTTGGCCAAGTGGTTGTTCTCCAGATTTCTTGGTACAACTTGGTGAGCACATCCAGGGTAACATCTGTTAGCTGAAATATGTCAATTGGTATACCATCTTCCTGGGGCCTTATTTTTTGCTATTTCCTTCAAAGCAGCTTGAACTTCTTCCTTCATCATCATAGGTTCTTACTCAAATGTTATTTCATTAAATTCTTCTGTATCTGCCAATTCCTGTCGATACAATGACTCAGTATATTACTTCCATCTTCTTTTAATACTTCCTGGATCATTTAATATTCTGCCTAAAGCATCCTTGATTATAGCAACTTGAGGTTTGAATTTGTTCTTCAGTTCCTTGAGCTTAAGAAATGCTGAACAAGTTCGGCCCTTTTGATTTTCCGACTCTAGCTCTTCACACATTTCATTGTAATATTACTTACCAAAAAGTAGGGGTCAAGAACAACACCAACATTTAATCTGTTAAAACACGCCATCATTTTCAATACTAATTATCCGTCATGCTCTAACTCCAAACCTCCCATCTGAGGGTTTCTGAGTCTGGCAATTGGCTAGAAGGTCCTGAGCAGCTATCAACGATGCAGTTATCCCAGGTGAGCCAAGGAAAAAGGCCAAAGCGTTCTGGTTGCAAATTTCTTTTATTGGAGTGCTGGGGCCCAGATCACACTCCCAGGAGACCTAAGGGTGGTGATTTGGGCCATGTCTTTTTAGCAGGGCAGGCACAGTTGAGGAAACTGGATCAGACTATAAGCATTGTCACAGGTGAACAAAAGAACGATAGCAATGCCAAAGACAATGGTCTAGGGCAAATTTGGAGCAACAGACCCAGTATACTGCAACACTTATGCCCACAAAAAACTCTAAGTATGGATGGAAGTTCTTTTATATTCCCTCGCTTTACAGATTGGGCACCACTCCTTTTTCCTGACTGTGTCTATTTTCATCGTATCTACAAGGTACAACAACTGACTAACCATTCCACATGCTATTTCTACCAATACACCCCATCATTAGTACATTTAAATAACAGCTAACATATATCAGATCATTCCTAGCTGTCACATATCACACTAGGAACTTTACATGAACCATCTCAAGCAGTCTTACAGGACAGTTTAAAAAAAAAGTTATCATTTTTAAATAAGTTTTTAGCACTTGCTATTTTAACACTTTTACATGTACAGTCCTGACATTAATTACATTCATCACTTTGAATCACAATCACCACTAACCATTTCCAAATTTTTCATCACCTTCAACAGAAGTTTTGTGCCCCATAAGCAATGATTTCCTCTTTGCCCCTTTTCTATCTTCCACATGACCACTAATAAATGTGGGACTCTGCATTCTGTAAGACAAGCTTTTTAATATGCTATCACACAATGAGGAAAGAGAGGATTTGGGAAATTAAGTTGCTTGTCACATAACTGGTAAGCAACAGAGTCAACATGTGAGGCCAGATCTTTACTGAACCTTGTTATAGCACTTCTATTGTCCATGTATAGTAACTGGTGTGAATCAGAAACCTGAAAAATGAACTAAAAACATCAAACCTGTAGAAGTAGTACTCTGCTTTTCATCCTATTTTCCCTGGCCCTGAGTTCCAAGCCATTGGGAAGCAATATACATGAAAATTAAATACAGAGACAACATGGTACTTTTGTTATGCAAATATTTTAATTTACCTGTTAAAATGATGCCCACAAGCATCCAAACACAGAGGAAAATGTTCCCTGCCAAAGGTTTATATTTTGATGTGAGTTTCCCTTGAGCCAATGTAAACAGAATCCCAAATATCTACAGGAAAAAGAGAAATTGTTTTCATTAGGTTGCAGCTTTGAAACTGGCAAAGTTTTTCCAAGAACTTTAAATTTTATTCATACGATTTGGAATCAGCAAATACTCACTGAAAGGAAGAATTGTTAAATAAAATCTATAGTTACACTCATCATCCATTCCTCAACTTTTAGCCAGAATACCTGGCAAATACTCTAATCCATAGCATCCTTTGGTATCAAAACTTGAGACTCAAATTTGATTTTTCGTTCCTTCAGCTTGAAAAATGTCACACGAATTCTTCCCTTTTGGTTTTCTAACTCCAATTTTTTGCACAATTTTTTTGTTATAATACTTTGCTTTATCTTCTTAAGCTACACTTTGAAATCTTCTGTTCATCTCTTTTACTTTCACGTTTCCCTCCTCTGTTTTGGCTTCTTGAAATTGTAGTGTAATTTTCACTCTATTCTGAAATCTATTTTGGTCTTTTCTTTCTCCCGTCTTGTAACGACCTTTTTTTGCTTTCTTCATGGATGATATCCTTAATGTCACCCCACAATCTATCTGGTCTTCAATCATTAGTGTTCAATGCCTCAACCCTTTTTTGACATGGTTTTCAAATTCAGGTAGGACAGTCTCAAACTCTTATTTTGGTTCTTGTTTTTTGAACAGAGCAAGGAAACATCGCATTATTTAAAACCGGGAAAGATGTATGTCAGGGTTATATCCTTTCTCTATGTCTATTCAATCTGTATGCTGAGCAAATTATTGAAGCAGCTGGACTATATATAAAGAAGAATGTGGTGTCAAGATAGAAAGAAGATTCATCAACAACCTGTGCTATGCAGATGACACAATCTTGCTTGGTAAAAGTGAAGAAGACTTAGACTTCATCATGACAAATGTAGAAAAGACTGAAGTTGTCAATGATTTCATCTTACTTGGATTCATAATCATCACCCTCGGCACCAGCAGTCAAGAAATAAAAAGATGTGTTGCATTGTGAAAATCTGCAGTCAAGGACTTCTCCAAAGTGCTAAGGAGCAAGGATGTCAGTTTAAACTCTAAGGTGCACATGATCTAAGCCATGGTCTTTAAATTCCTTCATATGCCTCTGAAAGCTGGATAATGATAAAGGAAGAGAGAGCTGACACATTTGAGTTGTGGTGGTGGAGAAGAGTACTCAATATGCATGGACTGCCAAAAGAACAATTATGTCTTGGAGAAAGTTTAACCAGGGTGCTCCCTGGAGACAAAGATGATAAATCTTCATCTCACATACTTTGGGCATTTTGTTAGGAGGGGCCCATCCTCAGAAAAAGACTGAATGCTTGGAAAAGTGGGGATAGTCAGTGAACGAGAGAATGATTTTAAACAAGAAGCACTGACACAGTGACTGTAACAATGGGCTCAAGTATATCAGAGATGGTAAGGATAGAACAGGATGATGGGGCAAGGTTCAGATTCGTTGTTACATCAATGTATGAGGGTCTCTGAATCATAGTCACCTCATTAACGCCTAACAACAACAACTCCAACCATCTGAAGTTTCAGAGAAATCAGAGAATTACCTGTGCAGCAGCATTAAGAAGACCAGATGAAGTACCTTCAGATTCAGGGTAAGTAATTTCAACAGCAAATTCAAAACCCAAGGGAAGGTAACCAGTCATGAAGAAACTGGAAAAATAAATCCAGAAATAAAGAGAATTACTGATATCACATATTGATGTAATTATTCCTCTGTCTCTCAGAATTACTATAAAAATCAAATAAATGAATACCTTGAAGTTGCTTCATTAAATTAAGACCTTTATCAGCCCAATGTAAAAGCAGGGAAGTAGAACAATTTCTTTTTTTTTCCCTGAGAAAAATTTACCTCTAGTTTTCTAAATCCATTGTCATTCTAACTAAATAAAGATTCTAGGATTAAATGACATTTTTTTTTCAATTTTCACTTACAGTATACCAAAAAACCCAAACCCAACGTAAAACTAGTTTCTAGCGAACTATACCAGCTGTTTTGTGGGAGAAGGATGGGCAAGCTCCATCCATGTGATTAACTGCTTCTGAAAACTCACCAGAGGGTCAGCTATTGGTCGGTTCTGAGTCAATGATACACAACACTACATATTTACATGTCCAGAGCAGATCCTCAAATTAAAATATTAAAAAACTTTAAAATGGATTCTTTTGTGTTGTGTGTGCCACTGAGTTCGAATCAACTCATAGCTGACCCTCCAACAGGTTTTCAGAAACAATATACCATATGGGAAAAGACTACTCATTCTTCACCTGTGGAGCAACAACTGGATTCGAACCATGTACCTTTAGTTCTGCTGTGCAGCTTCTTATCACTAGGCTACCAGAGTTCCCTTAAAACAGACTAAAAAAAGTTAAAAATTATAGTCATTATACTTCAGAATGAAACCATGCTGTCATTCCTCCCAAATCCATGTACTCACCCAAGCACTCCTGCAGTAATAAACACAATAGAGAGGTATCCAAGGTCCAGAGTAGAAGTAAATATGACCATTCCGACAAAAGACAAAATGTAAACTATCAAAGTAGTCTGTCTGAAACAAACCCCACAGATACTGTTAGCATTTTGGATCTTCTAGGCATATAAAAATAATTTTGTTAAGTACTTGCTCCACTCATACATTAATAAATGCACTGGATTTCATATCTTGTCAATGCAAAGTAGTCTTTTTAGACTTTTCTCAGTCCAGGAAAAGTTTTTGGCAACTATATATCTGACAAGGAATTTCTCTGTTAACTCAAAGCCGGCACTTTCTGATGGTTCGGACTAACCAGCATCTCCTCACGAGAAAGACAGGCAATCTCCTTCAATGTGATTTACAGCCTTTGAAAACCCTCTGGAAGGTCAGTTAAGAGTCACAACCTAGTAGCAATGAGATTTTGAGTACTCATCTGAGCAGGCCTTAATACGCAAAATACATAAAGAATTCCTACAGTTTAACAACAATAAGACAAAACAACCTAACAGAAAAATGGTCTGAAGATATAGATTATCATTTCATCAAAGAGAAAACATAGATGGCCAGGAAACACATGAAATGATGCTCAAAATAACTTTTAAAAAATCGATTACAGTTAGATTGATTGCAACTCATAGCAACCCTACATGTTACAGAGTGAACTAGTCAACGGGATTTTGTTTTTACTTTATTATTTAAGGAAGCTTATCACCAAGTATTCCTTCTGGAGTGTCCTTGAGTAGGTTCAAACCACTATCATTTAGGTTCATGTTATGTTATCTGGGGTTAGGTGCCTGGAGTCACACATAACTCATAATGGGTCCATGAACAACACACTGAAGCCTTACCTGAGTGTGCATCATTTTCATGATCTCGGGACTGCTATCGGTCCACTGTGGCTCACAGCAGACCCTCCTTTAGCGCTCCAAAGCTCTAAGTCTTAACAGTAAGAGTTTACCCATCTCACTCCCAAGACTATCACCAATATTACATAACTGCTGGTAGATTCGAACTACCAGAGGCATGTTGTTTGAGTTAGCACAATTCCCTACAGACTAAGCCAACAGAACATCATTATTTGCTATTCTTTTAAAACTGACTGTTGTTGATATGGAACTGAATCACAGCTGACCCACTACTAGGTTTCTGAGGCTTCTACATCATTTGGGAGGGAACTGCCATCTTTCTGCCAGTGAGCTGTTATGGATTCAAGCCATCAGAAGTGCTAGCTTTGTGTTAGCACAGTGCTCTATGGATTAATAAGTATTTATACCTGTATGCTAGTAGCACATACATAGACTCGTTACCTCTAGATGTAAACATAAAATTCCAAACATTTTTTTGGAAAGGACTCTTTTTAGAACAGAAGTAATCTCTACTGAAGTGGTATGTATAAGTATTGTTAGAGGGATATGTGTTTGCAATGAGTTTACAAAGTTTAAATAAACATGATCAAGAAAATACAGAAAGAAAATGTGCATGATGTCAATACATTATTAGGTGAAAGGAATCTAAGAATATCTCTAGGTCTAGTCCAGTAGATAATTTAAAGGTTTCTTAAAATAATAAGTAAAGTTTCCTTTAAAGTCAATGCTTTTACATTTGTCTATTATATATGTATGCTCTGGACACCATATAGTTTATCTTGTTATACTTACTTGTATGTTTTGGTATAATCTAGCCATAAACCACAAAGAATAGAGCCCAGCATTCCAGCTACTACAAGTGTCAGCCCAATCCTTCCAGCATTCACCTCTTCTCCCTTAAAACAAATTTCACAAAAAAAATAACGAGAAATTTCTTGTAATTCTAACAGATTACTGACAGTCTAAAGACACTTATTCAGAGTGAAAATAATCAGGTAAGATTAAGCACATACTATAATAAGGAAATATTCAGCATGTAGGTTATGATAAGCAAGAGCATGGAAAAGGATATATTAAAGGCATTCTACTTTGGAACTTGGGGGAAAAAAATAACATAATGAGAAATTTAAATACACACACACACACACACACACACACACACACACACATTTTCCCTTACTCTTCCATAGCCAGAAGTGATATATAGTTAGAATTCTTAAATAAGTCATAGATGCAAAGAGGAGCTAATCTGATTACTTCTACTACAGTCTTAATGAAAAAAAAAAATCTTTTACAATACTAAGATTAGACTCCTCAATCTTGAGATCATGCTGGTAGGAATTGCCTCGATAAAGATACATCACTGGGGTCATTGTCCTTCAGGATGGAAACTGCTGCCCTTCTACCTAGTAGCTTCTGAAGAAGAGATGCAAGTATGCTTGGACACTAGCAGGTAGCCAGAATTGAGAACTAAATTACTGAGAAACTGGCATGTCCCTGAGCCTTTATCTAACCTGAGAAGAGCTAGCGAGAATAGCCACCTAGGAACCAGCCCCAGTATTGCTCCAGACATCAGTTAGCACTCAGAATTGACGTCTGCTATGTGGAGAAATTGATGCTTCTCTGAGAAATAGCTGCCCTTCAACCCTGTGGCTTATGAAGTGGAGATGTAAGTATGCTAGTACATTAAAGGGTATCCACAAGTGAGAAAGAATTGCTGAGAATTTGACACTTCCCTGAGTCTTTGTCTGCATGGGAAGAGCCACCTAAGAACCAGACCCAGCGTGACTAGGAACATTAGCTGCCAACCAGAATTAAGATCTGCATTGCAGAGAACTTGGTGATGCCCTGAGTTTTTATCCACTGGGGTGGAAATAGCTGCCCCACAAGAAAAAGACGAATAACACAATTACAAAGTGGGCAGAAGACACGGAAAGACTTTTCACAGAAGAGGACATTCAGATGGCCAATAGACACATGAAGAGATGCTCAAACTCCACTGGCAATAAGAGAGATGCAAATCAAAAGCACAATGAGATACCATCTCACACTAGTAGCAATGACAAAGTTAAAGAGGGCAGCAAACAACAAATATTAGAGAGGATGTGGAGAGACTGGAACTCTCATGCATTGGTGGTGGGATTATAAAATGGAACGATTACTCTGGAAGGCAGTTGGGCGTTTCTTCAAAAAGTTGACCACAGAAATTCCATTAAGACCCAATTATTCCACTGCCAGGAATACACCCCAAGGAAAATACTGAGACACAAACAGATTTGTACACTGAAGTTCATAGCAGCATTATTCACAAAGCAAGAAAGTGGAAATGGCCAAAATATCCATCAACAAATGAATGAATTGAGAAAATGTGGTACATTCACATGATAGAATACTGTGCAGCACTCGGGAGAAATTATTTTGAAAGATATTATTTAACATGGGAGAGATTGGAAAGTATTATGCTGAGTGAACTCAGTCTCATAAAGACGAATACTGCATAAGACCAATATCATAAAAATAGATGGAACTGGTATACAAAAGTACAAAGGGGAAAGAACACAGGGGATGAGGGTGGGGAAAGGAAATTTCTAGAGGTCAGAGTTACGTGGGCAGAGAGAGGGGTTAAAAGAATTAAGAAAGATCTAGTGGAGATCTGAAAAGGAGGGGTAATGGTGAGCATGGATCATTGGTGATTAATTTTATAAAACACGATATATGGGAATGATACAGTGAAACACTCTATGAATATAGGGATGCTTATAGAAATTAACCATAATGTATATAAATTTTGTATACAAACCAATACAAGAAAAAATAAGACAAGAACCACAATAATGATGAGATACCATCTCATCCCAGAATCAACAAAGTTTAACAGGATTGGAAACAATAAATGTCAGAAAGGATGTGGAGATATTGGAATGTTCGCATACCAGTGGTGTGTGTGATTGTAAAATTGTACAACCATCCTGGAAAGCAGTTTGGGGTTTCCTCGAAAAGCTGCATATAGAAATCCCACATGATCTAGCTAATATCTAGGAAAATAACCCAAGGAAATTTGAACTGAGACACAGAGATATGTACACCTATGTTCATAGCAGTGTTATTCACAATAGCAAGACTATTATGGAAACAGTGTAAATGCCCATCAATGAACAAATGGATTGAATAATTGTACACTCACACAATGGCACACGAAGCAACACTAAGGAATAACGATTTTATAAAATACATGGGAGAGTCTAAAGAGCTGTTTGGTTGTTGTTTTTTTCTTTAATATGAGTAGTTAGTGGTTTGTTCCACAATCAGCACTTGGCCTAGTTTTGGGACTTTTTTATCTTTTTTTTTTTAGTTAATTTTAATGAAAGTTTACAGAGACTTTGGATTTCCATTCACTCATTGTTACACTTTCCTCTCTACCCACCCCTCTCTCCAATTTGCTCTTCTCTTTGAAAAGTAAAATTCTTTCATTGTCATACATCCCTCCTCCTAAGTCCACTCCACTATGTAGCCTTCATTTGACTCCTGTCATGACAATAATACCTAATCACATATCCATTTGAAATAGTTCTTTCCCTCATCTGTTTCAATGCAATATACTTTATCCCCACTTTTCTCAGTCTCCCCCCCCAACCCAATGTCAGTTCTGCTTTACAACAGTGGCATTACGCAGCATTTGTTCCTCTGTGACCGAGATACTTCACGCAGCATAATGTCCTCCAGGGTCACCCATTTTGAATAATACTGTATGAGTTCCTTGCTTTTCAATGCAACATAGTATTCCACTGTGTGAATATACCACAGCTTCTCTATCCATTCATTTGCTGATGGGTACTTAGGTTGTTTCCATCTCTTTACTATTATGAACAAAGCCATAATAAACAGTGGTGTGCATATATCTGCTTGGATGGTGATTATAGTTTCTTTAGGGTATGTTCCCAGTAGTGGAATTGCTGGGTCAAATGGTATTTCTATTTTGCAATTTTTTGAGAAAGCACCATACAGCCTTCCATAGTGGTTGCACCATTTTACACTCCCACAAACAGTGAATAAGGGTTCCAGTTTCTCTGCAACCTTGTCAGCATTTGTTGTTTGCTGCTCTGTTAAATATGCTTTTCTGACTGGGGTAAGATGATTTCTCATAGTTGTTTTGATTTGCATCTCTCTTAGAGCTAGGGATTTTGAACATTTCTTCATGTGTTTGTTCACCATCTGAATGTCTTCTGTGGTAAAGTGTCTGTTCATATCCTGAGCCCATTTTTTTAATTGGGTTGTTTACCTTTATCTCGTTGTGGTGGAGTCTAAAGAGTATTATGCTGAGTGAGGTAACTCAGATGCTAAAAGAGAAATACTGCCTAAGACCATTATTGTAAAAATAGAAGGATAACTAGTTGTTAGGTGTTAAGTTGTTAGATATTGTTGAGTATGACCCACAGCGATCCTAGGAACAACAGATCTGAACCCTGTCCTATCCTGTGCCATCCTCACACTTCCTGACACACTAGAGCCCATTGCAGCAGTTACTGTGTCAATCTACCTGGCTGAAGGTCTTTGTCTCCTTTGTAAACTCTCTTGCTTTTCTGAGCATCATATACCTCTCCAAGAAATGACATGCCTGAAATATGTGAGGCAAAGTTTATTATCTTTGTCTCCAAAGAGGACTCTCTGGCTGCACTTTCTCCAAGACCTATTTGTTCTTTTGGCAGTCCGTGGGGTGTTCAGCACTCTTCTCCGACACAACAGCTCAAATACATCAATTCTTCTGTCATCCTTATTCACTGTCCAGCTCTCAGATGCAAAGCAAGGGACTAGAAAGACTATGGCCTGAACCAGATGCACCTTAGTCCCCTGACATCATTACTCCATAATAATTTGGAGAGGTCTTTAACTGTAGACTTTCCCAGTACAGTATGTCTCCTGATTTCCTGACTGCTAGTACCAAGGGTACTGACTGTGGATCCAAGTAAGAAGAAGCTGTTGACAGTTTTAATCTTTTCTCCATCTAGTAAGATGTGTACAAATGTCCAAAAGGGGAAGAAGGTAGAAACCACTATGATAGCAGAATTCAGTGGACAGAGTAGGGGGAGCGTGAAAGAATAGGAAAGATTAATCCTATGCAAGAACCATGCTGATTTTCTCTGTAACGTTCCAATTTTAGTATATGTGCTGCCGAAGTGAGCACAATAGGAAAGATGCAATGGGGACTTGAAAGGATGGTGTAATAGTATGTATAAATGGTAATTAATTACATAAAACACAATGTATTTAAGTGATTCTATGATACTATGGAAAACTGTATAAAACACAATGTATATGAAGCACGATATAAATGACATATAATATAAAAACCAATAAAAAAAAATAAACATTAGTCAGCCAAGCAAAACAATACAGACAGGCATTTACCTTATAATATGTCAGTATCATTTGATTTAATAGTGTTGAAACGGAATAGAATGCTCCAGTCATGATACCTACAAAAATAAATAGAAAATTTTATATTTACTAGTTCATAAAATGAACTAGAAGTACTATGATTAATAAAATATATATAATCTATATTTCTAACAAGTCCTTTTGTGGCACAAATAGTGTGCATTCAGCTGGCTTCAATCTCATTCACCAGCAATACAGTAGGCAAGTCCTTGCTACTGCTTCCGTAACGATTAAAGTCAAGAAAATTCTATGGAGCCCAGCTCTGCTTTGCTGTCTAGGGACCTTACTGAATGAATGGCACAAAACAACATGTATCAAACAGTTTGCAAAATTAAGAACTACCGCCATCTCGTTTCAGAACACGGAATAACGAAGTTAATACCTAAATTTACTAGGGAGGACAATCTTAAAATACTATTATAAGATATACTTTACTATTCAAATATTACAAATTCTATCTCCACCACACATAAGACAGTATATAGCAATCAACAATCAATCAATGGATTGTTTCTTGAGTACCTACAATATGTTGTATCGACTGGATATGAAATCCCTGTATCAATGTTCTTAGAAGGAAATTAGTAAAGATGGCTGTCAGAAATGCATTATTTTAGAAACCTTGGCTCTCTTCTTGAATGTGTAGTTTGACATTAGGTAAGTCTCTGAACATATCTGTAAATTATTCTTTCTTTCTTTTCCATTATTATTTTAAACATATAAAATAAAGAATAACATAACAACAACCTCGCTGTGTTCACTTCATATGTTTTTTTAGACCTCTCCCAATCAAATTCTTGACCTTACATTTCTAGATAACATCTATCCTGTTATTATTTATTGATTATTCTATCTTTGTATCTCCATATTTCTCTGGTGGTCTACTAAGCTATGCTTTCATATCAAAGGCAAACAGTTTGGATCTACTAGCTGCCCCTCAAGAGAAGGATGGGCAATCTCCTCCTGTGTGATTTACTGCCTCTGAAAATACACTAGAAGGATAGCTATGAATTGGTTTTAATTTGACAACACTCAACAACAACTACTCTATATTACATATCCATAAACAATAACCAGAATTATGCAGCATGGATTTAAACTTCATATGTTGTTGTTATATGCTGTTGAGTGGCCTGCAACTCATAGCGACCCTATGTACAACAGCTCTGAAGCCTGCCCTGTCCTGAGGCAGTCTCACTGACTCCGACACACCTACCCCCAACTGCCCCAGTCACTGCATCCATCCACCTTATCCAAGGTCTTCCTCTCCTTTGCTGTCCCTCCACCTTTCCAAGCATGATGTACTTCTCCTAGGATTGGTCCCTTCAGGCCATGTGCCCAAAGTATATGAGATGTTGTTTTTGTTATTATGTGCCATCAAGTCACTTGTGACTCACAGAAACCCTAAATCCTGCTCTGTCCTGTGCCAATCTGTCTCCAACCCCCACCCCAATTACCCCAGTCAGTGAATAAATCCATCTCATGGAGGGTCTTCCCCTCCTGCACTGTCCTTCCACCCTCTCCAAGGACCAGTCTCTCTTTGCAACAAGTCCAAAGTATGTCAGATGAAGCCTAAGAATCCTTGCCTCCAAGGAGTAGACTATTTTAACCCTCTCTAGGATGAACTTGTTCATTTTCTTAGCAGTCCATGGTACACTCAAGAGCTTCAAAATTTTTTTCTCCCAGGAGAATCTTGGTTTTATCCTAAGACAGAACTACTTATTTTCTTGGCAGTCCATAGAATGTTAAGACTCTGCTCTAGCACCCCAACACAAAGGCATGAATTCTTCTGTCATTCTTAGTCATTGTCCAGCTCTCTGATGCACAGCAGGTAACTGTGAAGGCCATGGCCTGGACCAGACACACATTAGTCTCTAGACTCAAGAGTGTTGATTGTGGAGCCAAACAAGCTGTAACTGTTAACAACCTCAATCTCTTCTCCATCTATCATGGAGCTGACAACTGACCCAGTGGTGAGATCTTTGTCTTCTCGATGTTGAGCTTCAATCCATACTGAAGCAGTTATAGTCCTTGACCCTCTGCAGCAAATGCTTCAGTTTCAGCAAGCAAGGTTGTGTCATCTGCATAATGCAGGTTGTAGATGAATCTTTCTCCAATCCTGATGCCATATTCCTCCTAATTACAATATATTATTTATTTCTAGATTGTTCTTCTCATGCATTATGGTTTTGAGATTTATACATGTTGATAGACCTACAACTGAGTTTAGAGGCTCATGTGTGAAGCAGATGGATTCTGGAGAGTGGGTTCTCTTGTTTTGGTGAGGGTTGGGTGTGGAATGTTTGGTGGTTGGTTGGTGTGGTAAGTTTTTTTCTGTTCACAATCAGGTGTGAGCTGATTGGATTTGCTGAGTTTAGCTAACAATGAGCTGCTGGCTTGAAGCCTCTAGTTTAAAGTCAACAAGCACCTGATGGGCAGGCTTTGTATTTAAAAGGTGGTTTGGTCCTGGGCCTGCATCCCTAGGGCCTGGTGTTAACTGTATTTGAATGAACATTTTTCTAAGTGTACAGAACTGGTCTGTCAGTTTGCTGAACTAAAGTAATGTGGGGTTGCTGTGATGCATAATGCTGTACCACTACTGTGTCAAATGCCATAATGGTTACCCATCTTGGACAGTGTTTTGTGGAGCCCCCAGATTGAGACAGTCTTAGCAGGAGTGGCATCAACTTCCTAAACAACATGCTTCTGGAAATTCTATGAACGTAGAGAAACAACTAGGTATAGAAAAGGGTTTAGGTCTTTCGTTCACAGGGTCACTATGAGTTGTATTTGACTCAAAGGCACTTAACAACAAGTTCATTAATTTCTTTAATGTATAAACCTTCCAAATTAACAAGTAAAATATTCCAAATACAAGTGCAGCACACTTTACACTAATGTTTACAGGACTGGTTGAGGCAAGTAGAAAGAATACATTAGCTGCTGTTGTGAGGTGCCACGGAGTTGACTGCGACTCACACAGGCCCTCTAAACAACAGATGTGAATCTTGCCCCATCCTGCTCCATCCTCATTAAACCTGATATGCTCCAGCCCATTGTCATAATCTCTATGTCAATCCACCTTGTTGAGGGTCTTCTCTTCCTCTGACCCTCCATCTTTCCAAACATGGTATCTTTTTCCAAGAACTGGCTTCTCCTGACAACATTCTACTAGTGCTCGTGTGACATCTGATATCTTTTTGTTCTGAGCTGCATCTCTCTAAGAACTAGGGATTTTGAACATTTCTTTTCTTTATGTGTTTTTTTTGCCACCTGACTTTCTTCTTTGGTGAAGTTTCTTTTCACATTTTGTGCTCATTTTGTGAATGGGTTTTGTGCCTTTTTTCTTATTGAGATGCTGGAATACTCTAAATTTTAGATATAAGTACCTGATCAGCTATGTCACGGCCAAATATTTTTTCCCCAGCCTGTGGGCTTTCTCTTTACCCTGTTTGAGAAGTTTTTTGATGTGCATAAGGATTTGCGTTTTAGAAGGTCCCATTCATCTTCGTCTTTAAACTGACATTGTTGTTCTTTAACACTTTAGAGAGGTCCTTGACAGAAAACTTCCCCAATGCAATGTATCTTTTGATTTCTTAGTTGATGGTACCACGGGTATTGATTGTGGATCAATGTAAAATTAAATAGTTGACAACTTCAATCTTTTCCCTATCTATCATGACATAGTCTATTGATCCAAACCATGAGTTCCTCTTCCCTTAGCTCTTGACTAAACAGTCTTAAGTAGACATTCTGTCATCTGGTACTTTCCTGCTGGTCAGAGAAAGTGCAACATATGGTGACCCCAATGGAAAGGGGAATAACAGTGATCCGAACCATGCAGAAAGTGTCCGACCACATCATCTCATTAAGTGACAGGGTCAGAGAGCATGACTTCAACTTGGTAAGAGACCGTGCCAACAAGTACTCCACATGTAGGTTTTCATTCAGACGGGAATTTCTGCAGCTGGGCCAAGAGCTGAAAGCTGCCTTGTTATGCATATCTTTTTGCCACTTCATCTTGCTGCCTCATGCTACCACCTCATCTTTGACTCTTAAACAGTGTTTATCCTTTCCCTAGAATTGCAGCCTGAAATCCCTGGGGGTTTTCCCATGAAGTTTCTCACAGACAGTTTTTCTCTAAGTGGTAATGTATTCTTACTTTCTTTTTCCACTACCAATACAGATAAACTATCTTATTATTTCATCTGTGTGTGTGAACATTAACTTTTTAGATCAAACCCTGCTAAATTAAGTGGCTGCCTATAAAAGTAACTCCTTAATGCCACAAATTGGCTTAGTCTGGCAGGATTTAAAGGGTTAAGATGGCTTTCTTTAAGAAGTGTGTTGTGCTGCATTGAAAAACAAGGAACTCATGCAATATTATTCAAAATGGGTGACCCTGGAGGACATTATGCTGAGTGAGGTATCTCAGTCACAAAGGGCCAAATGCTATATGGTGCTACTGTTGTAGAATGAGGCTGACATCGGG